GGAGAGCTGTAAAGAGGGGCTGTGGCTCAGTGGAAGAGCCTCTGCCTGGCATGCAGAAGGTCCCAGGTTCAGTCCCCGACATCTCCAGTTAAAAGGACCAGGCAGGAGGTGATGGGAAAGACCTCAGCCTGAGACCCGGGAGAGCCACTGCCACAATACCAACTTCAATCAAACAAGAATCTGATTCAGTGTAATGGAGCTTCATATCTGTTTGTGGCTCAGTCGTCGAGCACTGGCTTGGCTTGCAGAAGGTCCCAGGGTCAACCCCTGGGACCCATTGAGTTCAGCATCCTGGCTCATACAGTGGCCAGCCAGTTCCTCTTGGGGGTCCAACAACAGGACATCCTGGTGCATCTCTTTTCTAAACCGAGAGGTCCCGGCCTCTCCGGCCTTTTCTCCTAAGGGAGGCGCTCCAACCCCTCCATCGCCCTCCTCTGTACTTTCCCCAGCTCTGCTGTGTCCCTTTTGAGTGACGCTGACCTGTCCCGTCTGCTTCCTTTCAAGGCGCCGGCCCTGCCCCGAGGATGAATTGCAAGGAGACCCAGAAGCAAGCGGATCACTGCAATGACCGGAAGACGGCCTCCAAGCGGGTGCAGGAGCTGAGCGCCGATCTCTTCTTTGCCATCTTTGTAAAGGTGAGACCCTGGGCCAGGGGCCTCCCCCCCCCCCGGACGGCATGGCAGGGCTGCATATCGAGAGGGTGTGTGTTTTTTTACCACAGGGTGGAGGCGACCTCTTGCGAACAGGGAAGGCGGCAGTTTTGAATTTCCCACACTGAGTAGCGATGCTCCCCCTAAGCGGTGGAGTCTCGTGAGCAAAAATTCTACTCTGTGAGCTCCTGGCATTAAAGTTAGATGCAGGGGGCAATGCTCCCTCTAAGCGGTGGAGTCTCGTGAGCAACAATTCTACTCTGTGAGCTCCTGGCATTAAAGTTAGATCCAGGTGGCAATGCTCTCTCTAAGCGGTGGAGTCTCGTGAGCAACAATTCTACTTTGTGGGCTACTGGCATTCACGTTTTGAGCGAGCAATTGGGCTACTGCATGAATTAGTTCGCTCTGGAGCCATCCTTCCTGTGCTAAGACAAAAGCGTGTGAGCCAGAGGCTAAAACACTGTGGGCTGGCTCACACTAACTCAGCTTAGAGGGAGCACTGGTGGAGACAACCGCTTACAAACAGGCATACGGCCGTTTTGAATTTCCCACACTGAGTAGCGATGCTCCCTCTAAGCTGTGGAGTCTTCTAAGCCAAAATTCCACTTTGTCAGCTAATGGCATTCAAGTTGTGAGCGAGCGATTTGGCTGCTGCATCAATGAGTTTGCTCTGGAGCCCTCCTTCCTGTGCTAAGACAAAAGTGTGTGAGCCAGAGGCTAAAAAACTGCAAGCTGGCTCACACTAACTCAGCTTAGAGGGAGCACTGGTGGAGACAACCGCTTACAAACAGGCATACGGCCGTTTTGAATTTCCCACACTGAGTAGCGATGCTCCCTCTAAGCTGTGGAGTCTTCTAAGCCAAAATTCCACTTTGTCAGCTAATGGCATTCAAGTTGTGAGCGAGCGATTTGGCTGCTGCATCAATGAGTTTGCTCTGGAGCCCTCCTTCCTGTGCTAAGACAAAAGTGTGTGAGCCAGAGGCTAAAAAACTGCAAGCTGGCTCACACTAACTCAGCTTAGAGGGAACACTGCTGCGTCGGGGGTCGGAGAGATCCCTTTCCACCTCTAGGATTCTGTGACACGAAGGTCTTTCCCCCCTTCTGGGCCTGGTAACCCCGCAGCTCGTCTGCACGGCTCCAGCAGAAACCTGTTGACATGCTCCCAGCTGAACACTCAGATTGGGAAGTGCTGTTTCATGGGGCCATCCGGGAGACGTCCTGGACTGGCAAACTGAGCCGGGAGGGGCCTGCCATGTCACGAGGGCCGCTTGGCTCAGATCTGGGCCGTGGCGATGATGGCACTCGTGGCCATCGCCGGGGCCTCTGGGCTTCCCTCAATGCAGGGCTGTTTTACTGGAAGAGTGGGCGCAGGCCCAGAGATGTCCAGAAGCCGGTTGTTCCCGCAGCCCTCTTTTTAATCCCTCTCTAGAATCATAGAGTTGGGAGGGGTCATAGAGGCCATCCAGTCCAACCCCCTGATGAGTGCAGGATCAGCCTAGAGCAGGGGTGGCCGAACTTGCTCAACGTAAGAGCCACGTAAAGTAAACGTCAGATGTTTGAGAGCCGCAAGACACGAACAAATATGACACACGTTTTTACTGGGAAGTATGCAAATTTGCTTTTTATTACCATCAAATGATACTTTATCGAAGGCTTTCGGGGCCAGAGTTCATTAGTTGCTGTATATTTTCTGGATTGTCTGGCAGTGGTCTTGGCATTGTAGGACCTGACGATTCACCAGTAGCTGTGACTGGCATCCTCAGAGGTATAACTAGGGCTGCCAAGCCGCGGCGGGGGATCCGCACGTCTTCACAGGATCCCTGCCGCGGGGGACAGCGATACGCGTTGCACCGCCGTTACCAGGATGTGACGCTACGCGTCGCTCTGGCAACGGGACTCCAAACAGCCCCGTTGCCAGAGCGACGCGTAGCGTCACATCCTGGCGACGGCGGTGCAACGCGTATCGCTGTCCCCTGCGGCAGGGATCCTGTGAAGACGTGAGGATCCACTGCCGCGGCTTGGCAGCCCTAGGTATAACACAGAAAGAAGGAGTGCTCTCTGTGTCAAGGAGAGAAGAAAAATGGTAGGCAGATAATTTATATCTACTCAGGAAGGTGGGGTAGGGCTGAGTCATTATCTTGTAGGAGTTCCCCAGGCTGTGAACATGCTAATGGAGGGGCTTTCCTGAGGAGGTTCTTTTGTATATGGATTGTTTCCTGAGGAAACAAGATCCAGCCTGTACCTTCCCGCCCTTAATTTAAACCCATCCTTGCGAGTCCTCTCCTCTGCTGCCCACAGGAACAGCTCCCTGCCCTCCTCTGAGTGACAGCCCTTTAAAGCCTTCAAGAGAGCCATCCTCTCCCCCCTCAGTCTCCTCTTCTCCAGACTGGACCTTCCCAAGTCCCTCGGCTTTGCCTCGCAAGGCTGCTTGGTCTCCAGGCCCCTGATCATCTCTGTCATTCTCTTCCACACCCACTCCCTCCCGTCTTTTCCAGGAGCACGGCCCCTTGGAGTCAGAAGCCATGGTGATGGGCGTCCTCAGCGAAGCCTTTGACGTCCTGGTGTTGAAGTACGGCGTCCAGAAGCGCATCTACTGTAACGTAAGTCGTTTCCCCCCCTCTCTTTCTTTATGAACACACGTGAAGCTGCCTTCGACTGAATCAGACCCTCGGTCGATCAAGGTCAGTATTGTCTGCTGAGACCGGCAGCGGCTCACCAGGCTATTCGATATAGGTCTTTTGTATAATAAAAGAGTCGAAAGGGGGCCATACAGACCCTCTAGTCCAACCCCCTGCCCAATGCAGGACCAGCCTAAAGCGTCTCTGGCAAATATCCGCCTAGCCTCTTCTTGAGAGCGGTCGGTGAAGGGGAGCTCGCCACCTCCCGAGGCAGCTGATTCCACCTTTGGACCACTCTGACCATGAGAAAGTGTTTCCTAATCTCCAGCCGACACCTTTCTGCATGTCATTTAAACTCCTCGCTTCAGCTCCTCTCCTCTGCTGCCGACTGGAACAGCTCCTTGCCCTCCTCCAAATGACAGCCTTTCAGATGTTTAAAGAGAGCAATCATGTCCCCTCACAGTCTCCTCTTCTCCAGACTACACATCCCCAGGGCCCTCAGCCTTTCCTTGTAGGGCTCAGTCTCCAGACCCCTGATCATCCACGTCGCTCTTTTCTGCACCGTCTCGATTTTGTCCACATCCTTTTTGGAGAGCTGTTCCTTCGTCTGGGTGGTCATTTTGGAGTTTTTTGGGGGAATCTTTCTCTCCTGTGTGTTTTGCAAAAAGAAGAAGAAGAAGAGACTGGATTTATACCCCGCCCTTCACTACCCAAACGTGTCTCAGAGTGGCTTACAAACTCCTTTTCCTTCCCCTCCCCACAACAGACACCCTGTGAGGCAGGTGGGGCTGAGTGACAGAAATGGCTCTTTTTCAAGATCCAACCTCTTTCTTTGGTTGGAGCCAGTTTGGTTGGAGCCAGTCTGGTGTAGTGGTTAAGTGCGCGGACTCTAATCTGGGAAAACGGGGTTTGGTTCCCTGCTTTTCCACTTGCACCTGCTGGATGACCTTGTGCAAGCCACAGTTCTGATAAGAGCTGTTCTTGAAAAAGAGCCGTTTCTGTCAAGAGCTCTCTCAGCCCCACCTATCTCACAGGGTGTCTGTTGTGGGGAGGGGAAGGGAAAGGAGTTTGTAAGGTGCTCTGAGA